TCCCATGGTTTCCCTTATTTGCAATATCTAGTATATGTCTGAGACAAGCAGAAAAGGTCAGATAAGTTGATGTTAGGTGAAATGAACCCCAAAATAAATATTCAAATTTTTTTTTCTTTCTTGCTATTGTTTCTACCATATTTATAAGATGATTTCTTTGTGGTTTGTATGTCCCTCCTCCATGGTATAACCCCTGCTTTCATTGTATTTGATGTTGGTATAATTTGTGGAGGAGAAGGGAAAAAACAAATTATTTAAATAGGGATACAGGTGGACCCATTGAAACAATGAGATGTACAAGTTGTTATGTTGAAAAATGAACTTTACAACTTTGGCCAGGCGGGGTGTGGGGGTGTGTGGGGGAGGCTACAATGCTTGATAAGAAATGTACTCATTCATTACCTTGCCCATGTAATTGTAACCCCTCTGTGCGGTATTTTCACAATAAATTTTTTTAAAAATGCAGCACATAAATAGCAATATTTGTGATTTCTTTCATTCAATCTTACAGAGAATTTTTGGACATAAAGATTTCTGTTAATGCCTTTGCCCCTCCACAGGAAGACTACAGATTCTCCAAATAGTAGACTGACCTTCAGGTTAGTGACTAAAACTCTTGGTAGTCTGGAGGGTTTTTTGAGTCTCTTTCTAGCAGCTTTCAATGGCCTTACAGAGATAATCATGCTAATAATGTTTGAAAAAATTAGCAACTAAAACTGCAATATTTGAAGCATAAACTTAAAAACTTGATTGCCTTAACTATAATGATGAGAGAGAGAGAGAGAGAGAGAGAGAGATCACGCAAAGGCTGTTTCTCTTTTTTGTGACTTTAGCTAATGTTAATTGAGGCCACAAAAGCTGCTGAACTCAGTGGGAATCTTGTTTTTATAATTACAGGTTCAAGTGTCTTACATTGAGTTTCTTCTGTCACCTATTGTACTCAAGCAAAATCTGTGGGAAAAGCTCTACTGGGAAGGAGCCCATTGCTTCTGGTCTCCAGTGGATGAAAGCAGATGGTATAGGTAAATATCTTGAGTCGCTAACCAAAAATGATTATCATTTAGCTGTGTTTAGTGGTGGGCTGTATTAATAGCTCTTCACACATTCACACACACACACACATACACACACACATACATGTTCACACATAGGGAATGAGTGTATATCTACCTGGCCAGTATTAACCTTGTATTTATTCTTCCTGTCTCTTCATAAAACTAGAACTGTTGAGCCAGGCATTGTTGGCTCCTGTCTGTCATTCTAGCTATTCAGGAAGCTAAGATTCACAGGACCAAAGTTTGAAGCCAGCCTGGACAGAAAAGTCTGGAAGAGACTCCATGTACAATCAATCAACGAAAAGTTAAGCTAGAGATGTGGCTCAAGTGGTAGAGGACCAACCATGCAAGCAAGCCTAGCAATTGTAATGGCCTGAGTTCAAATCCTGGTAACACACACACACATACACACACACACACACACACACAGAATAGAACTGTTGCTTTTATAGTGGGAAAGAGATAACTTCTACTTATTTTGAGATCACCAATTAGGATAGATGACAAGGCATTGGTAAGAAATGGAGAATTCATCGGCACCAACAATCAGAGAGTCATCATAAAGATCAATAGAATCAATAAAAATATATAGTCCACTAACTTTCATTATTCTTAACAGCATTGTTTTATAGCAGTAGATTTTTTTTTATACAACAGAATTTTTTTGGGGGGTAGGGGTTGGTCATGGGGCTTGAACTCTGGGCCTGGGCACTGTCCCTCAGCTCTTCAGCTCAAGGCTAACGCTCTACCACTTGAGCCATAGTGCCACTTCCAGTTTTCTGGTGATTAATTGGAGATAAGAATCTCACAGACATTCCTGCCAAGGATGGCTTTGAACCGCAATTCTCAGACCTCAGCCTTCTGAGTAGCTAGGATTACAGGGTTGAGCCACTGACGCCTGGCTTACAACAGAATTTTTATGGTTCTGTTCTACACCAGTGAATAAATATCCTACCATTCATTCAGCTGATCTCCTTAATCTGGCTATTGCGTCATTTATAATGTTTTTGCTTTTATGCTGCCAAAATATTCTTGTAGTTCTATGCTAGTTTCCAATATTAATGGCTTCTTTAGCATAATTGTCTATCATCAGCAAATTGCTAAATTGGAGAGTTTTTTTTCTGGTTTTAAGATTTTTGATACTTGTTGCCAAATTATTATCCAGTAGTTATTTCAGTTTCTATTTCCATTTGAAATCCTTGAGAATATCTACGTACACACCCTTTTCCAGGGCTGACAATTCTAAAAACCAGAACTCTTTGCCAGTTGATTGTAAGAAATAGTGTCTCCCTATGTGCACATACGTGCGTGTGGGTGCTGAGTGCCTGTATGCGCAGAATGGAGAGCATTTATTTAGTACGTCATACTGTTTTGAAGAACCTTCCTCTTGTAGACAGTAGCAGACTTGAAACTTAGCAGATTTTGACATTTGAGAAGTAGTACTAAATCGAGGAGGAGTGGAAGAGCCCTAGGGAATTTTAAGTTCTTCCTTTTTGGCCAAGTATTTTTAGACAGTTGTGAAATAACTGGATAGCAATAATTTTCCAATGGAAAACACTTCTTTTGTTGTGCTTAAAAAGAGAAAGAATGAATTTAACAAAAAGCCTTCACGAACATGCATCTGAAGTTTAAGCTCCTCCTGAGCTTAAAGGAGGTATATACATGTGAATGTATGGATACTTTTATATGTGTCAAGTGTTGGGAACAAGATCAAATGTAATTACAATCAGCCTGTAGAATGAATTGGTTTCAGGTCCCACTGGATAAGGCTGCAGGTCCAGAATGCCTGGGCACAGACTCCAACCCCACTGTTGCCTCCAGTTGTCACATAGAACAAGTAAATGCAGATAAACATAGTACCCATCTCATGTATGTTGCTTCAAATAAATACAATGACATGTGTAAAGCTGTGACAGTCTTGTGGCGAGAAAATGTCCAGCAATGCACCAAAATGATCATGATAGATGTCACCAAGTATAATTCCAGTCTGGGAAAATTATTCTGCCCTTCTTTCTCCTCCTTTTCTTTCTCTCTGGTGTCTAAAAGAATGTCACAAACTTCTGAATGACTTGCATTAACACCCAATGAGTACATGTTCTGGGCAGACTACCTGATTGATACGTTCAAGTCAGAGACTCAAAGCAACATTAGAACTCTGAACTCAGACACTTGTCACCTGACACATAGGGGGCACATAGGGATGAGCTCTGTGTGAGAGCAGAGTTCCATTCTCACCCAGGCTGCCTCTCTCCTGGGTGGGACCACAAATGTCAGGATTAGATGAGCTTGTAAGTGTCTTGTGAGCCACAGAAGGAGTGTTTTCAAGTTTCTTGCACCATACATGAGCTGACTCAGCTGATTCCTCTCTTGTTCCTATTACTAAAAATGTTTCATTTCACTAAGTAAGTGAATGAACAAGAAGATAGAGTAAGAGACCCTCAGCTCTTAGACAATTTGGGCTTTGTCCGACATAAGCCCCAAAGGGAAACTGGGGTTTTAAATCCTTCACCCCTTTGGCTACATCTGAAGATTGAAAAGTGAAAAGGAGAATAAGGGTCAAAGAATGGTTTAGACTTTGGGAAGCCAATACAAGGAGACTGGACAACTTTAGCTAATGCCTTACAAATGGTTTCCCATGCAGCCAGCCTGCATGTGTGTGTAGATGCTGCATTCATTCCAATCTGAATTTCCTGTCTAAATGGAATAGCTCTGTATTTCTCAGTAAAAGAGGGGAACATCTGAATTCCCAATTAAGACATTTTAGTCTAAGAATGCCTCTTTAATGGTTCATAAACTATTCTCCTATAAGTGATTCTGAAGATGAATAAGAAAATACAAGTTGGGTCCATACACATATGAGTATTAATTCAACAAAATGAATGTTTGTAGGAGAGAGGACAACAAATACATCGGCAAATATAGGTCAGAAACAGAGTTTCTAATGTTCTTTCAGATTCCAGTGAGGCCCTTTCTGAGTGTGGGTAGAAAGGCCGAGTGTAACTGCAGTGAGAATGGAAATAACACAGCCATACGGAACACTGAGTATTTGGAGAGCACTTACCTTCTTCCTCCTCCACTCCAGAATCAGTACACTCAAACAGAGAGAAAGAAACTATTCTCTAGCTGTGGGTTGCTGGCTGGTGTGCAGAAACACAGACATGTTGATTCTCAAAGGCTTATCAGAGTACATTTCTCTAGGGAGGCAGGAAAGGAGACAATATTATTTGAGCATTTCCAGCAGTGCTGTCGTCACCAGTGTTTAGTTGTCTCCATTCCTTAAGCCTAGTTGTCCAAACCATGTTTGTAGCCTTGCAGGAGAACTATCTGCAAGACCAGGCCAAAACATTTCTGAGTCTGAATTACTGGGACTCCATGGGAAACTTTAGGAGACTCTAAGATGTGGACAGTAGAGAATTAAATGACAACTTTTGAATTGTGACAAATGGAGACAATATCTTTCCACTCCAGTCTCATTCAGTCATTCACCATTCATTTATTCATTTAGCTAATGCTCCCTTAAGGGCTAATTTTTCTGTTATACTACAAGGCTTTGGAGACACAGATTGGGTCAGGCCCGCATGGGCCCAGAGACCTTGTCTCCAAAATAACCAATATATAAAAAGCTGGCAGAGTGGCTCTGTACTAACTTAACTATACAGTTGTGTACCAGTATAACTAACTTTAGTTAACTTCAATTTTAGGTTCCAGATGATAGTAGTCTCACTAGTTGTCACATCTTGGTCAGTTTACTAATTGGAATCCTTCTTTTCAGCTTGGTTTGTGACATTTAACTTTCTTCCCTCCTTTTCTGAATCTGTGTAGGTCTTTTAAAGAATAGAATCAATGGGAGATTTCTTTTATCTCCTTGGGCCTTCAACATAGGTTTTGCAGATGCTACATTTCTGGTTTTAGATTTACTATATATGATGGGTCCTTCCTGTCAACCGCCCTGTTTTGTGGCTCAAGCATCTATTATGGAAAAGCCAGACATTTTTCCTTCTCTTGACAGGCCAATATTGGTTTTTCTATGTCACTCTACTACTGCCAACACACACCACATACACACACACACACACACACACACACACACACACACACACACACACACCTATAGTTCATTTCAGTTCATTCTGGAATACAGGGCCTTTTCCCACTTACATTTCCATGGCTAAGAAAACCTATCTTGTTATACATTAAATAATCTAAAATAGAGATCTTCCCCCAAAATGACCTTGAACAGAAGTATGTTCTTCCCTTTCCTCTGAACTTCATTCAATTTGGATATAGCATCCATAATTCAGAGCCAGTTTGGAGGGAGGCAGCATTTTAAGGTACTTAATGATGTTTTTGTGGTAAAAGGAAAAAGATGGAGAGTCAAATGCTCAAGAGAGTACATAGCATTTTATCTGTAGCTTTTCTAAACTATTTTGAAGCACATTAAGTTTCTAAACAGAATTTACCAGCCATTGGTGTGAAACATTTTACTTTTTAAAAGCTTCATAAATGGTAGGATTTATGATAGCAGTGTGGAAATATTCACATAGTTGTGATAACTTTTATGAAACAAGGTAGAATACTTTGTCATGATGGAATAGAACATGTTCAAATGTGTGTGTAACTGAAGCTTACTGTTTTATGTTTCTATATTGGGGCCCTAAGCCAAGTTCTGTGGGTTCCCTCCCCCAATCCTCTAATACATTGCTGTTGGCTTATGGTTGTGTCAACCATGAGCAAGAGAATGCTGACACAACTCTTCTCAAAGTGACAGGATTCTTTGGTACTTTGTGAATTACACCATGTTCTCTCAGTGTTTATCAAATGAAATGAAACTTTTGATGTATTTTCTTTTTTTCTTTTTTTATTGTAAGAATACTGTACAGAGGGGTTACATGAGCAAGGTAATGAGTACATTTCTTATCCAGCACTGTTGCCTCCTCCTTTGTTTCCCCTTACCATCCCTACCCTCC